CACCACTTACGAAGCTTCAGCAAGCAAAGGAAATGAACCTTCAATGCAATACAAAAAAAAAAAACAAGTTTGCGATATTGTTAAAAAATTGTTAATCGAATTCAGATTTTAATAGTTTAAATTTTACTAGTAATTTTTTTTCCGTTATTAAAAATTACAAATATTAAAAGAGAATTTTGCCTTTATTTTGTTTTGTTTTTTACTTTCAAAAACTAAATAAATAAAAACCTAAATAAACAGAAAAATAAATATATATTTTAATCACAAGAATAGGAAATTCGTAGATAGGCATTTGATTTCTTTTGCTTGAATTTTTATGTTTGATCCGTGAATGTTCGAACATCGGCCGGAATGAGAGTAATAAAAGTGAATTATTCTCTCACTGTGTGGGCGATGCTTGGTTATATACAACTACATGTATTCGTACACGTAACTCGTTTCACGTGCATACAATACAAGTTTGAATCCTGTACGTTGACTATGCAGACGATATTTTTAGTCGACGTGAGCGCCATGATGAGAGAATTTCTAGAAGCGGTCCCCATAACAAGCGTGTCACGCGTCTTTATGTATCGTAACGGATTGTATCGGATTGTGCTTTTTCGAAAGCCATCGCTTTTTAACTGGGCCATCCTTTATTATCGACCGAAGCCGAGATCTTACGTTTTTTTTGTATGTGTTTTCCAACACATCCACAATTTGAAAACTGCGATGGAAATTTAAGGGACAATATAAAGTAACAGAAAAGTTTGTTTTGTATTATCTATATTTTAAATTATTTGGAATTCAAGATCATAAAAAGAAATTTCATAAACATCAAGTTTAAGAATAAATTTTATCTCGATAGAAGATATAAAATTCATAATTCATGATATATAAAATTTATGTTATGTTGATAGTTAAATGAAAAAAACATTTGATTAAAAAAAATTGATATCTGGAATATATATACTTTTTATAATTATAAATATCCTATTTAAATGTTATATATTTTATATATTATATTTATAGTATAGTCTCGAAATATCAAGATAAGAAAATTTTATAAATATAAATAATTTATATAAAATATTTTGAATGATATTTGTTTAAATACATATATAATATATGTATACTATATACATATCATTGATTATCATTATAAAACACCATTAACAAATATCTTGATGCTAAATTATCTAATAGTAAACAATTAATTTATTTTTATATATATTAAATATTATTAAAAAAAAAAACATTAGTGATAATTTAGCGGGAGGTATTTAAAAACATTTTTTTTATGACCTCGAGTCCGTTAGATAATGTATTATATAAACAGTTTTGTTCTTAATATTCCAACATGATAATGCTGGCATGAATGTAATGAGTAGTGACACTAAGTTGGTATTCGATGCTTCGTCACACCGATGCAACCAGTGTCGATAAATTGAATTTATAACTACATTCGATGAATTTTTTCTATAGCACAAGAATATTAATCTACTTATAATTATCGATCATAGAAAGTTAAGCGATTGTAACAGACGTATGAGTTATTCTTAGTCAAAATTATTTATTTTTTAAGAATATTGATATTATTAAAAGATAAACGATGAACATGATTCGATAAATTAATGATTATTATTCCTATAAATCTAATTTCCATGGAAGACAAAAAATTGTAGTTACATGATGTTAATCTACAATGAAAATCTACATAATTGGAAAATCTTTTAAATTGCATCTAAGTGAATATTTCTAATATCTGTAACAGCTATACGAAGAATTGTATAAATTATAAAGAAATCTTTTATAATTTTAAAAAATAATATTTTATGATTACGATGTGAATATAAAGAGATATTTTTAATATTCATATTCAAAAATAATGAAATATATCTTTGTTTACGATTTTTAATTTCTATAAAATATAAATAGAATGCACTATTCTCTTCATAACCATACAATCTCAATCATTTCTCACAAAAACTTAAAAAAAAAAGAAAGATTTCACAACTAATTTTCATCATTTATCACTATTAACGCAACAAATCGAAAGAATTTTCTTGAAACAATCTATTAATGGAAAATCTACTTTTCTATTTAGTTAATAAGGTACACATACAATAGATGTATTAACTGAAATGTAAATAAACGAAACTCTGATTTGTAGAGACGAGAACATTTCCCCCTCTACTTAACCGATGATCACTAAATTCCAAACATTTGATTGGTTGTATCTAATAAGCATTAAAGAGAAGTCCATAACGGTTAGAAAACAAATGGCAACGTAAACTCAGGAGGTTAAAGATGAACGCAATGAACTAAATAATTTCTATCCGAGTTTCGTATTTAGGTATACACGTGAAATTGCATCCTGGCATAGAATCAGTCAATTTCGTACACGCCGTGAGGGCGCGTGCGTCTCTTCGTTCCCTGTCCCTTTCTCTCTACTCTCTTTCTCGATTTTCACCCCTTCGAGAGCGTGCCTCCTGAAGTGTGATCCTAGCGCGACCTGTGTATACGCGCCTGTACGCGCTGCGTGTACTGTGTGACTGACAGTGATTCGAGTATTCTCTTTTTCACTCACCACGTTGGATACGTGTCGCCAGGCCTCGAGATTCGTGCACATAATACCCCAGTGAAGGAGTAGATAGATGACAAAAAGCATGGTCGTGAAGAGGAGCAGAGTGATCACCTTGTAGTGGTACATGAAACCAGGGAGCCGTCGGATATTCATGATCCCGAAGGCTACTTCTATCTTAGGTAGGTCGATAATTATTTATTATTTATTGAGACGAGAACGTGATCCTTTTGTTTTCTTTTTTTTGTTTTTTTCAACTCTTTTGAAATATTCTTCGTTGTTGTTGTCGTTCGATATATTTGTTTCTCACCAATTGTATCGTCGACGACGTCCGCGACGGCGCATCATGAGGATGTTTCGCGTTTAACCTGTCGCGTTCGGCTCATTACGTTGATTTTTTTCGACCTTTTTCCCGACGACACGATCGTCGACCGACCGGTGCCGTACGCTTGTGGCAATGCGGCATAATCTGCGGCACATGCGAGCGTCGCGACGCCGCGCCTCTCGTGGCGAATCTTTGGACAATGAGTATTGCGCAGACTCGTAAGTATGTATTTAGACCAGTTCAAAGGAAAAATTCGAATTTCGCTCGATTATCACTTAAATGTTACGCGGACAATTTTTTCGCACAAACGATAATCTAATATGTATTGAATAAAGAGAAAATAGAGAAACGATTATTTTTGATGCGTTTGATATAATTATTAACTTAATATCGTTGATTGTGTCTTAATTTCCGATACACATCGAAAATGTTTTACTACACAAACATATTTTCACATTGAAAAATTTAGCAAAATTAATTAAAATTGTATTCGATTTATCGTTTTTTTTT